AGAAAACAGCGGCGGGGAGATATGGGAAGAGTTGAGGGGAGGGAGTGGGTGTGGATTTGAGCAAAACACCTTATATACATGTATGAAATTCTCAATAATTTTTTTAAAGATAAAAAAATTAAACTTTCAGCTCTCTGCTCTGGTTGCCTCTTTTCATGCCTCCCTACCACGAGGGACTCTTATCCCTCTGAACCATACGTCAAATAAAGTCGTCGTTCTTCTATATATAAAAAATTAATATGTCAAATACAGCAATAGACAAAAAGGGTAACATGAATTTGCCTGAGGAATGCAGGATTCACTGAACATTCCTAAAACTAACTAAAGCATTTTCCTTATTCATAACACCACCCATGGTGATTGTGTGTTCGTTGCTTTCTATTTGGATACAGAACTTTGCGCATTAATCCAGGTTCGTTGGTCTATTTGGTGTTGTGAGGATTAAATACAATAACAAATGTTCAAGCCGCTCATGAAAGGCTGAGGAGAAATAGGGGTGGATTCATCTTTGCCAGCTAGAAAGCTGCTTATCCTTTGCTGATGCCTACAAGCACGTTTCTTCCAGAGAGGAAAAGGATGTTGTCCATCTGTTTCCTGTCTTTCTGAGCTGATGTTCCTCATCATCTTATCACCTGCTTTCATTGCCACAACTGTGGAAAAATTTCATAATCTTACAAGTTTAGAGCAATGTTATTGAAAATGCTGGTCTGCAGCAAAACAGCTTGAGTCAGAATGCAAATTGAGGGGGCTGTGGAGATGGCTTAGTGGGTAAAGTGCTTGCTTGCTATGTAAGCATGAGGTCCTGAGTTCAGATCCCCAGTGCCCATGTCAAAGCTGGACATTCAGCACACATATAAAACCTCAGCACTACAAAGTGGATTATGGGGGCTCCCTGGCCATCTAGCTTAGACAAAACAGTGAGTTCCAGATTTAGTGAGAGACCCTGTGTCAAAAAGATAAGGTGGGGAGTGATTAAGGAGATCACCCAATGTTGACCTCTGGCCTCCACATGTGCTCTCAAGAGTAAGTGCATATGCACATACATGTACACACATGCATATACCATAGAAATGCATATACCACATATATACACATGCATATAACACATATGTACACACAGAATGTAAATTGAAGTGTTTTCTTCATTGAAAAAAGTCTTTCTAAAATTAAATTAATGTTAGCTGAGTGGCCATGTTTAATAATATTGTTGACTACCTCATGATGCAAGTTCCTTTTGTTGCGGACTGATAAACAGCAGACTGTCACTTTGCGTATCCAGTTCTTAATGTGTGTCATAGCTTACGTAACACTGAGATTCTAAAGTCAACATTTACTTTTTCTTGCCCTCATGATGTTGCTTTATGGTGCATTTCACTTAGGTGTATATGCAAGTATTTGAGTTTATGTCATTAATAAATATGACTATGATATCAAATAATTTCTTTTGTGGTCATCACACATAATTAGATGTTCAGGTAGATGTGAATGTTCACTCCAGGGTTTTGTAACCATGTGGAAGCACTGAAAATAGCTGTTCGTTGGGTTGGAGAGATGGCTCAATGGTTAAGAGCCCTGACTGCTCTTGCAGAGGACCTGGGTTCGGTTCCCAGAACGCACATAGTGGCTAACAACTGACTCTAGCTCTAGTTCTAGGGGATCCTATGACCTCTTCTGACCTCCCTGGGCATTGCATGACATGGGTATACTTACACATATGCAAGCAATACACTCATACACATAAAATAAAAATAATAAATTAAAAAAAGTTTAAAGTATGTTTTTCATCTTACATTAAAATGAAAGATGGAGTCAAATCAGTCCCTCTACAAAAACCTGAGGTTGGAGTAGCAAGTAGGTTTCTTATGTGAAAGCATGAATCAAATAGAAATACCTCTCTGTAGTGTGTGAAGACAGATGTGGAGAATGCATCTGGGAACAAGTACCGTGATTGATTGGTGATGCCTGCCACAGTGTGGGAGCAATACCCAGTGTACGTACATTCATGGCTAAGGACATCAAGCTAATCCTTTTACTAATAGTGACTTGAATTATTCTGTTGCAGAGCATGAAAATCATGGCAGAAAAGAACCAAGTCTTTCTGACAAGCCTGGAGACATCACTCTTCAAGACTATTACATGGATGTGGCGTTCCTCATAGATGCTTCCCAAAGCACAGGAAATGATGAGTTTAAGGAAGTGAAAGCCCTCATAACTTCAGTGCTTGATTACTTTCAGATTGCCCTGGATCCACTGACCTCTGTCTTAGGAGACAGAGTGGCTGTCCTTACCTACTCTCCTCCAGGCTATACGCCCAGTGCTGAGGAATGCCCGGTCTACCTGGAATTCGATTTGGTTACTTATAATACTGTATACCAAATGAAGCATCATCTCCAAGACTCTCTTCAGCAGCTCAATGGAGATGTTTTTATTGGCCATGCCCTGCAGTGGACAATAGACAATGTCTTCATAGGAACCCCCAATCTGAGGAAAAACAAAGTTATCTTTATAGTATCTGCTGGTGAAACCAACCCTTTAGACAAGGAAGTCTTAAGGAACGCATCTCTGAGAGCCAAGTGTCAAGGCTATTCCGTATTTGTATTTTCCTTTGGTCCTGTACACAATGACAGGGATCTAGAAGAATTAGCCAGCCACCCTGTGGATCATCACTTAGTGCAGCTTGGCCGGACACACAAGCCAGATTTTGACTACATTGTCAAGTTCATAAAGCCATTTGTCTATTCAGTCAGACGTAAGTCATCCAAGCTTTTTCCCTCTATTGCTTTTGCAATGGCTCTGTGTACAGTCTAGTCAGCAGACTTAGTCAATGAAGCTTACTTCAGTAGCGAGTGATGGAATGTGAGTAGGAGTCAGTGGACAATCTCAGAGAAACATTCCAGGTCTTGTTGACCATGGACATTGGTCAATCACTTGTCAAATTTTTAGCCAGGAAATCCTCGAACAGGTGAAAGGTTTCCTTTGAGCCTGGTTTCTAAACATTTACTATGTGCCAAGTTTTCCAAATGGGTGTATCAGTTCATCCTCAGCACAGCCTTCAAAGGGAATATTCAAATTCCCTTCTTATAAGGGGAAAATTGAGTTTAAGGCACACTCAACTAATTGCTCAAAAGCTCATAATTAATAACTAATAAAATTTAGATTTGACTCTACACATTCTGACCCCAGGATTATGCTGTTGTTTATTAAACTATACAGTAGTTAGTTACTAAACCCTTAACAAGGTATACTGCTATAATAAATAATACCCCATGGCCACTGCCCTTGACCTATTCCAAGAACTTCAAATTTATTTTGTCATTATAAACTGTTCTGACTTGAATTCTTATGATTCACAGACACAAACGTCTTTTAGAACCTGTAAGGCATCTAGCTCAAGTGAAACTACACAGAGATTTTTAAGGATATTTTTAGTCAGCAAAGTTCTGAAAGTGGTTGCCCCAGAAACTCCATGCATCATAGTTTTAGGCATGGGTATGGTTTAGCCCAAAATTTTATAGCATCAACAAGTCTTGGCCTGTGCTGGGAATCAGGAACAGGGCAGAGGCCACACTAAGTGGTTGCTCGCTGTGCCTGGGAGCTAGTTGTAGGGTTTCTGGCATATGTAGAATCCCAGGACTCATTGTACTTGGGAATCCTGAAATGTGGGAGTTATATTTAGTAATGGTTCAAAACAATGTCTTCTTTCAGTCTCTAGTTAGAAAAAAAGGCAGACAATGTCTATAGCTAATAGAGACTTTTAGAGGGGGCCTCCATTGCCAGGGGTGAAGTGGGAGAGATAACAGGAGGAATTCAGAGATGTCCAAAATTAGATCACAGAACACGGGAACTTTTGGTTAAATTACTTCTGTATCTTGTTGACTAGGCAAGAATGAGCTCTTTTAATGTCAGAGTTCCTGCTTTTCTGAATTCCTTGCAACATTAATTTGTTCTTGAAAACACTTTTAGCTTCAAGAAAAGATGAACAGACTTTGGGTGCTAGTTATAATGTGGGAGGGTCAAAACTCGACTAAGCAGCCCACTCTGTTTCCAGATGCCATCAACAAATACCCCAGTGGCAATCTGAGAGCGAAGTGTGTTACCACCACCTTTCCCAGTCCAGAGAGCGTTGACACAGAAGACACTGTACTGTGAGTTAAGAAATCTCAGATATGGGGTGTACCAGCCTTGGAAACAGTAGTTAAGAGTATGATATGAATGGTATTTTAATTTTTAGGATGCAAGTTTGGGGTGTGATTTTTAAACGCTGTGGTGGTGGTGACAATGTGGGTCATCAGCTGATAGAACAGGATATGTGTTACAAAGGACTTTATGGCTGTTGCTTTCATCAAAAAGTATCTGTTGGAGCCAGGCATGGTAGTGCACGCCTTTAGTCTTAGCACTCAGGAGGCAGAGGGGAGCAAATTTCTGTGAGTTCAAGTCTAGCCTGGTCTATATAGCAAGTTCCAGGCTAGCTGGGGCTACAAAGAGACCCCCGTCTTAAAAAACAAATGAATAAAATACAAAAAAGTATCACATTACTACTTTATTAACAATGAAATATTGCAACTCATATTGGATAGCTCCCCAACAAAGCTTATGATATAAAAGGTCAGAGAAGAATAAAAACATGAAAAAAAACAAAACATTTTTCATTCAGAAAAAAATGTAAGAGTTGCAGAAAGGATTCTTAGAACTTCGATCTAGTGAAGTACAGTCCAAGTCCTCAATAAAACTTCAGTGACAAGAACAACATTGGTTTGGGATCCTAAACCTCTGAGACAAGTACATGTTTAATTTCCCCTGAAAATATTAGGAAATGTTTCTGAATCAAATTCCCGTCCACTAACCACAGTTGGACCATTCCTAGTGCAGGCATCAAATGGGCTGCTGTTCTACTATCTGGCTGTATTTCCATCTACTCCTACAAAGGTCTTGACTAACCACACCTTCATCTTTCTTCTCCTTCACCTCAGACTTATCCCCGAGGTGTATGAAATTGAGACAGGAAACAGTGAGCTGTTTGGAGACTCTGGTTCCCAGGAACAGAATCTCCTATGGAACAACCGTAGTAACCACTTGGGGACCACTGCTGATTTGATTCAGGAGTTGTACCTGCTCGTTTCTCCTGGAGAACTGATGATAAATGACAAGAAAGTGCCACATTCAGAAGAAACCGCGGCTCCAGTGAATGATCAGCAAGGTAATCAATCCCCAGGGGAGCACCGAGAGTGCGGTGTGCCAGAAGAGATGATAGGAAAGAGATAAAAGGGGGTGGCCTCATTCAGGAATGATGGGAGGCCCCAAGGTAAGAAGGCAGAGGGATTAAAACCCCAAAGGCACAAAAGGAATTGGTTGTGTTCACAACAACCAGAGAAGGGAGTAGAACGAAGCTTGGTGTGGGGTCAGAGAATTGAGGTGTGAGAGAGGCGTGAGCTTTCTCAGGTCCTGAAAAGGTAGGAGCTATCTGCGCAGGTGAGGAGCCTCTCAAGTCTGAAGGCTCCAGGCCTTCCTTCTCCCTTGGCAACTCAGACTTTCTTGCTCTGAGATGTTGCCTCTTTGCTGAGCCCTGCTTTCAGTAGGGCCCGGATGGGACAAAGCTGCTGTGGTTGTGAGATCTTCACAGAGGCCAAGGGCAGCTTCTTCAGTGGGTGGGGAGATAGTGATGGATCTAAGGCTAGAGTGGAAGTGGGAGATGGTAAACAGAAAGCTAGAGAGGGGCTCCAGGACAGCAACCAGAGTCTTTGCTGTGGACCAGCATCATGTGGGAAATTATTTTAAACTAATTATTTATGGATCATACCGAAGTTGAAGATAGATATTCCCTAGGGGTGAGGCACTGCATTGGTATTGTTTATGAAGTTCCCCAGGTGTCTCAGGTGCACCTGAGTTTGGAAAACACTGCTGTGGATTCTGACTGAGTCAGTCCTGTTGGGCATCTCGGCAAGGCTTGCGGCTGAAGATGATCAGATTGGTAGCATTAAAAGGGTTATCCTCAACGTAGCATGACCGTCACAATTCTTGTTACCATCATCCTTCATAACTTCTTTCCTCCTGTAATCTTCCAGATTATTCTGTGGTGATTATAAATCATAATCTAGAAATAGATGTTGTCTTTAGGTCTCTAGCCAACAGCTTTCTGTGATGGAATTTGGCTAGACCTCTTTCATGAGGCCAATCAGTCTCTTCAGAAAAAGCCAGGCTGCCTTTTAAACTTTTTCTTGGGATCATGGAAGCTTAGAATCTGGGAAGTGGAATGACTTTGGAAATCACTGAAGTATGCTGCTTTACAGATAAGGAAATGGAAGTCACAGAAATCTGACGTGTCTTTCCTAAGAATATTCACAGCACTTAATCCAATGCTGATTCATACCCAATAATTTTTTCCTTTTTTATTGAATTTTTATGATTTTCATACAATATAATTTGATGGTATTTAGATCCCCCATCCTCATTTCCCCTTATTGCCCCTGCCCAATTTAATGTACTCTATTATATATAATAAGACCTATAGAGTTTAATTTGTGTTCCCAAATATCCTTTACTGTGGGTCCAACCACTGGCATCTGGTTAACTTACCAAGAGTCCCATCCTTCAAAGAGTCTGTCTCTCTTCCTCCAGTAGCCATCAGTTGCCAAAATTTCCTTAGACTGGCTTGGGGTTTCTTATCACTTGTGCATGTCTATTCTGGGATCTTGTCTGGTCTGAGCTTGCATGGGACTTGTTTCTGCTGTCACCATCGCTACGAGTTCATATGAGTGACGGACTAGCTGTCTGAAATATTTTGTTTCCTTGTGGTTATCCACCTCCTCCTCCTCTAAGTTCTTAAAATCTTTCTGCCCTCCTCTTCCACATGATCTTTGAGCTTTGGGAGGTAGAAGTTTGCTATAACTGTCCTATTCAGGGATCAGCAGTCTGCAGCCTCTTGTTCTCTGAACATTGGCCAGTTGTGGGTTTCTGTTTAATCACCATCTGCTGCATAAGGAAACTTCTCTGGTGAGAGCTGAGAGATACATTAATCTATGGGTATAACAGTAAGTCATTAGGAGTCAGTTTAATATAACTACTTAGGAAAAAGCTAGTATTAGGTTCTCCCCTATGTCCTGTGACCTGACCAGCCTTAGATTCCCAAGCCCAACGTCAGTATCAGGCATGGGTTCCATCTTATCAAGTGAACCTTAAGTCCAGCTAGAGAGCGGTTGATTACTCACGTAATGTTTGTGCTACTTACTCTTGTACCAGCGAGCATATTTTTGCTAGTCCAGTTGTTACTGTACTTCACAGGATTCACAGAAATTCACGGGTAAATGGATGGAACTGGAAACAATCATCCTGAGTGAGGGAACCCAGACCCAGAAAGACAAATGTCGCATGTTCTCTCTCATAGCTGGACACTAGCTTTGAAATCTTAGATATGCTTGCTTCAATTTGAAAATTCAGAGAGGCCAAGAAACTAATAAACAGTCATTGTGGGGGGAGGTTTCCTGGGAAGGGTGGTGGAATGCACTGATGTAAAGGGGAAAGGGGAACATTAGGAAGGAGTAAATAGAGCGGGGAATGAGAGGGCAGGACAGAGGAGGGAGTATGGAGGGGGATAAATAACACTAAAGGCCTTTAGAAAAACCATATGGAAGCCTACTGCTATAGAAACTTCTTAAAGAATACATATATATATGCATATATCATATCTTTCATAGGTACACCTTTCACATTTTATATATATATATATATATCACATTATAATATACATTATAAAGAGATTGAAAGGCTGGGCATGATGGCACACGCCTTTGTGAGGGGGCGGAGATTCTTTTTGTGTTTTTTGTTTGTTTTAAGAATGCGAACAGAACAGGTAAAAAGAGGATGGTTCTGGGGGGAGACCCTGTCTCAAAAAGATGAGAGAGGGAGAGAGAGAGAGAGAGAGAGAGAGAGAGAGAGAGAGAGAGAGAGAGAGAGAGAGAGAGATTGAAAGTTGTCCTGTAACGGGGACATTTAACCCCTTCTAGACATCATAGGCTAAGGAAAAAACCCTCAATGCTAGGAATGGACTTCCTCTCTAGGTCCCTAGGAGCTGTTGGCCAGGGGTCTCCTGAACCCTCAAACAGTACTGGCCATTGCCCCTGCTCTAGGTTTCCCAGCATGAAGACCCTAATCCTGAAGACCGTACATACTTGAGCTGTAGAACAAACAATGAGACATCAAGCTGTGCTGACTTCAAAGCCTCATCTCTGCTGGCTAGCATTCATAGTGCTGGAAGGTGCTATGCAAGCCACCAAAAGGAAAAAAAATCATCATCCTTACGCATACACATTGTTTATAGAATGGAAATTCACCTTAAAGTCAGGCATTGAAATGGAAAACTAACCTCTGAATTGTTGAAACCTGGAGATATGCATATATAGCTCAGAGCACACACTGTGCCTGCCATGAACTCAGCTGGCGTTGTCCCTATGTGAGTTCTCTGAGTCTGTAATAGAAAAGAGAAAATTCCACTGTATTGCTTTGATCATCTTTGTGTGAGTGTATGTGAATGCTTGTGTATGAATGTGTGTGTATGAATGCGTGTGGATGTGTGTGAATGTGTGTATGAATGTGTTTATGTATGTATATGTATGTTGTGGAATGTGTGTATGTGTGTGAATGTGTGTGGAATGTGTCTCTGTGTGTGTGAATATGTGTGTGTGTGTGTGTGTGTGTGTGTGTACATATGGAGATCAGAGGTCATTCCTCAGGACCTGTCCAGCTTGGTTTTTTGATGTTTTGCTTTGTTTTTGCTTTTGCTTTAGAGACAGGCTTCTTATTGGTTGGCCTGGAGCTCAGTGACCAGCACTGGCATTGCAAGTGTGCGCTACGCCCAGCTTTCATGTGGGCGCTGGGGATTGAGCCCACATCCTCATGCCTGCACTGCATGCACTTTACCTCCTGTGGCAGCTCCCGGCCTCTCGTCTTTTGTTTGCCCAGTGTGGTCTTTTCTTTTCACTTGCCTGATTTAATGATGTTTTCATTGTATACATTTACTTAAGGAGCAGATTTTCTGTGCCCTTTATTATAATGTTCATTTGCAAGATTTGGATGTGTATTTTTAAACCATTTCAGCACCCTTTCCCTTTTATGCCAACCCAGGGCTTGTTTCTTAGTCCATTTCCCCATCATCAAGTGCAGTGTTTCTCAGTGTGGTCCTGAGACCAGCAGCATCAGCATCACCTAGGAGCTCATTGGAAATGCAGATTCTCAGATCTCACCTCAGACCTGCTGAACTGAAACTGTGGGGAGGAGGCCCTGCACGTGATTCTCATGCAGACTGGAGTTTGAGAACTGATGGCCTGGCGTTACAGATATTAACCCGGGTCAGCCTTCTCTAACGGGAGTCCCTCCACTTGATAGCTAATGGCATGGACAAAAGTCAGTGCCCTGGGAAATCACTGAATGAGTATCGTAATTTTTTGCAGGGATTTATTGTCTTAAGTGGGTTTGATGGTCATATGAGTCTGAGAGAGATGCTATAGAAAACCAACCTGCCCACAGACTGTGGTATTAGGAACCACCTTACAGAGCTAGTGTTTTGTGCCCACTGTGGGAAACAGTAATTGAAAGAGTGAATCCTTTCAGACATAGATTTGAATCCTGTTTCCACAGTTGTTCATGATGTGATCTTGGGCATGTCACTTTGCCCCTCTGAGCCTCCATTTCCTCATCTGCAAAATGGAGGTGATAATAAAGCTTGCATCATGAAGCTAATGTGAGCAGTAAGTGAATGGGCCACTTCAAGCGGCACTTGGTCCAGAGTAAGAGTTTACTAAGTTCTGTTACTATTTCCAGGTGTGATGATGACAAATGATGTCAGAGCACATGGCCATGGTGGAAAGGACACTGGAGTGGGATTGAGGAGCCCTAGGTTCCAGTGCTAAACTAGCTTTGTGATTGCCAAAGGTCACCTAATTGCTCTGGTCCTGGACTCTCAGTGCTGGTCAGGAGCTATCACTTCTTGGGTATAATATACCAGGGTCCACTGGGGACACGCAAAGACTTGGTTTGCTAGATACTAGACTTAAAGGGCACTGTAGCGATCAGAAAACAGCTTTCCAGAGCCAGTTCTCTCCTTCCACCTTGTTTGGAGGCAGGGTGCAGGCGAATTAGCCTGCACGTTTCTGGGCAGTTCTGTCATCGCCTCCCATTGCCCCTTAGGAGTGCTGGGATTCCAGATGCATGCCACCACATCAGGCTTTTCAGTGTGAGAACCAGAGATAGACCTCAGATTTGGCTTTTCTTGCTGGGCCATCTCACTGATCAGAAACTTATTTTTTAAAGATTTAATTTTATTTTCATGTATGTGTCTTTGTGTGTATACCATTTGTATATATGGGTGCCTGCAGAGTCCAGAAGAGGGCTTTGGATCTGATAGAGCTGGAGTTACAGGTGGTTGTGAGCTGCCTGACATGGGTGCTGGGAAATGAACTTGAGTCCTCTGGAAGAGCAGCAAGTGTTTGAACCACTGACCCATCTCTCCAGCCCCAAGTAACATTGTTTTTAGGTTTTCTTTGTTGTTGTTGTTGTTTGTTTGGTTGGTTTTTTGAGACAGGGTCTCCCTGTAGTCCCAGTTGGCTTAGAACTCACTATGTAGACCAGGCTGACCTCATCAATCTCACAGAGCTCTACCTGCCTCTGCCTCCTGAGTAGTGGAATTAAAAGCGTGCACCACCACCACCACCACCATGCCCAGCCAAGAAACATTCTTTTTAAATGTCAAATTTTACATGTTACAAAATTGCATATTTTATCTACTCAAACTCATAATGAAAAAAATTAGACTCTAACTTTCAAATGTACAGATCAAAACATATCTCGATTTTTTTTCCTTTGAGACAAATATTTCTCTCAGATTCCTGGGTCATCTTCCCCTGACACTCACGCAGAACTGGGACTCTGTGTGCATCAGATCTGTTTAGGAGATGATCCTAGGAGAATCCAGGAATGGAAGTGGCATCTCAGGAAAGAAGTAGAAAATGAATGTGATGTCATCTTAGCACGGTCCCGTAGAGGGCAGTGGAAGCCTAGGCCTGGAAGGGACTCAGACCTCAGAGTCAGTCAGCCTTAATATCCTGACCTGAGGCCGGAAGCTGGAAGCTGGGTCTTATTATCTCCCTGACCACTGATGGATCATGTGGTAGGGGAGGGAGGTCACTCCCAGGCAGTAGCAGATGCTGGAATTTGGCATCAAAAGCTCATTGGAGGAAGTTGGAAGTGGGGGCGGGAGGAAGTAGAATGAATGGTGTCCTAGAAATTAATGCTATAAAAAGTCCAAAGGGGTCCTGAGTAGAATCTGATATTGTGGACAATGTAAATCCCTTCAAATGCTTATTTGATCATGCTAACTACTAAATCTGTCAAGCTTGGAATTTCAAACATTGAATGTATTCAAGGAGAATCACACTTGCAGCCCTACTATGTGCTATTCATTCTATCTATGGTCACATCACTACTAGAAGACTTTTAGTTTGACTGTTGAAAATAGCAAAGACCACTTGTGTTTGTTTCACACATGACACCTGAGGGAGTAGGCACCAGAGGAAACGCTTGAAGTCAAGATAGTGACATTAGAAACTGTGTATTTCACGCTCTGCAGGTGATGAAGACGAAAGGTGAGCACGGTGGGTAAGAAGAGAGCTTGAGAAGAGAGCTCGGTGGGCATGAAGAATTCCATGTGGTTCCAGCCAGAAGGTGTAAATCATTTGTTAGAGTGGGGGCGGGGGGAGTAAGAATTTTCATGCAAAACTGGAACTAAATTTAGTTAGTCTCAAATCTGAAGGAAAGGCTCTTCTGAGTAAAGACATCGACTAACAGACCTGAGAAGTAGGAATGGGACTTCGTCTCTCCCGAGAAGGGGGAACCCTGGGCTGGAAGAAGTAACGCAGTCTTTCCTGCGATGTTGATTTTCACCAGTTTAGATGATGCGTCTACCAAAAGAAGATTTTTGTCATAGTTTTTAGTACATGTGTATCTCATATTAGACCCTTGGGTAAACACAATTTATAATTAGAATTTCCTAGGACCTGTCTTTTACCCATTTATAGAAGTGCAAACTTAAACCATGCCTTTGGTTCTAATATAACCCAAAATTGCACCTAGCACTGGTTACCTGATGAACATCCACCCCCACCCTGACTGCTGCCACCTAGAGTCAGTGTGTTTCCTTTACCAGGACATTTACAAAATAGTGAATTCTTAAGAATGAAAGGGAGAGAAGAGGATTTTTTATGTACTGCATTCTTTTACGATCACTTTTATATTTCAATGTGCTTTGCTCTGTGTGTACTTGATTTCCACTGCAAAAAATAAATCATGAAAACACATGAATACGCTGTAGGAACAGAGCTGTTCCTGGGAATTACAATGCAGCGAGAGGCAATTTCTAAAATAAAAACAAAGTCTGACCCAGAAACTTGTCCTGTCATTTTTATGGGGCTGTAGTTTAACTCAGGCCCTGGAATACAAGTCCAGGAAAATTCACATAGATGTATTATGAAATGCACGTACAATATAAGATAAAGCAATGAGAGATTCATTGTAAAAATCATTCAGTTTAGCAGGGTATGCATAGATAACCGAGTATCATTTAGATCCAAGGAACAAAATCATGTCGTTTGCAGGAAAATGGATGGAACTAGAGATCTTCATGTTGAGTGAAGTAAGCCAGACTCATAAAGAAGAGTGTATTGTGTTTTCTCTCTATGTGGAATTTGGGGATCAAGGGGTTGGAAAGGATATGAAAGTAAAAGGGAGAGTGCTGGGGATTTGGAAGGGGAAAGGGGGGAGAGGGAGGAGGAATAAAAAGAGCAACAGAGGGCTGGAGAGCTGGCTTGGCCATTAAGAGCACTGGCTGCTCTTGCAGAGGACCTGGGTTGGTTAGCCTTCAAGGTGGCTAACAACTGTTCATAACTCTAGGTCTAGGGGATCCAACACCCTCTTCTGGACTCTGCAGGTAGTGCATGCATGTGGCACACACATTCATACATATAAAAATTAATCAATTAAAAAAAAATAAGAGTAGCAGAGAAGATGGATAGGGTCAAAGCGCATGTGTGGAAATGTCATATTGAAACCCATTATTTTGTACATTTAGTAGATATGAATAAAAATCGTTCAGTGTGGTTAGGGCAACAAATAATTACTAAGTTAATGAGCATACACTGAAAGAAAAATGAAATGATTGTACTGTGAGGTAACCACATCACAGTACACTCCTTAATATGACTATTGTTTATATAATTTAAAAATAACCCAATCAACCCCAGGCATGTTGGTACTCACCTTTAATCCTAGCCCTTGTGAAGCAGAGGCAGGCAGATCTCTATGAGACTGAGGCCAGCCTGGTACACATAGTGACTTCCAGGTGAGCTGGAACTAGGGAGACCATGTCAAACAACAACAAACAAACAAACAAAAAACAACAAAAACCCAATCAACTCTAAGTTGTCAGAATTTATAAGTAGCTATTTATTGTTCTAGAAAGTTCCAGAACAAATTCTATTCATTTGCCTGTTTTTTCCTTAAGAACTTTCGTACCCCTGTGGGGGTGTCTAAAATATATGCATGAAGGATACATCTTGTCTCCAAATTTGAATGTGACAATGGTATTAAGAATGTGAATCCCTTAACACTGAGATGTTGGCACATGCATCTTTAATCTGCATGTACCTGATTATTACTAGTCATAATTAGTTGTACTCGGAGCCTTGGCACCTGTGTATGTCTATAAAATCATTGGGTAGATTTCAATAATAATGCTTATCACCTCTACTAATTAACATGACATAAATTTTTATGCTTCCTCCTCAAATATAATTCATTTTTAAAAATTTGTTGATTTGTGTGTGTGTGTGTGTGTCACACAGAACATCCCAAACCATCTTATTCAATTGTACACTCCCTTCCCATTCAGCAACCCCAGTCATTCCCCAGTTCTTGTCCATCTGCTGATAGTCAGCCTACCTAGAGATCCTTCTTTTGGGAGGATCAACTGTTCCTCACCTAACAGCAATCAGTTGTCAACATTCCTTTAGATAAATTGAGGTCTACTGGTTTTTTTTTTTCCAGTTCTACACTGGGTTACTATCTGGGAGTCTTTTGGCCAAGAACTCAAAGGAAGGCATTTCCTGTCTGGCATTGTTTCTTGTTATGTAGCCTTTAGCTATATATATGGACTCTTAAAAAATTATATTGGCCCCTTTAATCTTTGGTTATACTTTCCTTTTGGGTGTTTAAGGTCATACAGTATATTTTAGGATGAAATGGAGATATTTTTTAAAGGTTAAAAACTCATTCAATTTTGTGTCTTACAGGGCTTATGCTGAGTTCAATATTGTGTAACTGTACCAGTTTAACAGCAAACTTAAAAATTTTATAGCCACCTTTGAAAGAGATGTATCTTTGCTCTGGAAACTGTTAATGAGTATGTTAAATCTGTAATGAAATGCTTCTTCTAAAAAAAAGAATGGGAGGCCATAGAAACTCTCACTTTGCTGGTGGGAACATGCATCATTATAACTTTGAACAACATTTCAGCAGTCTCTGGTAGATACCTAACAGTATCGCTCAGTTCAGCAATCAGTCCTGTTAATAGGTCAATATATGAAGCCTTCATGCATATACAGAGGAGTCAACTACATACATATTTGTTTCAGCACTGTGTTCTAGCAGAGCTGAACTCAGTCAGCATATCCTAATGTGGCATATGCATACATCAGAATATGACACGGCAGTCACATCAATAAACTGGAGCTGTATCCATGAGCAGAGATAACACTGAACCAGGAGTTGCAGAGGGATGACATTTATACATTTAAAACCTGAGAAGCAACACCATGCATTCTTTAGGACCACTGAGGACTCTAGCAAAAGCGTCAAAGCATATGAAGGTGGGGCAGGGTGGCTGGATAGAGGTGCCAGCACTCACCTCTGCAGAGAAGAATGGAAACGGCAAGTGCACAACTGTGCATTGAGATGAGTGACTGCAGGAGCCCGGAATTCATCATTGGGAAACTAGAAACCCTGTGACAGCCAAAGCTGAGGCCACAAAGGAGCAAGACACTTGGAATACCCCTCACCCCTCTCCTTGTTCCACTGCTCAGGCATGAGTCTGTTCTCTGTGGGGGTGAAGATGAGAGAGCCCAGTAAAGTCTGTCAGGGCAGGTACAGGCAATTCCACCTGCTGGGAAGTTTTGCAACCCTTGTAGGCTTACGGCTTAAATAGACAGAGCTCTGAAATCTGGATGATAGCTGGGTCTTGGGAAAGGATCCAGTCTATCTCCCCAGAGCCCAATGGCATATGTGGACACGCCGTGCCAAACTCCACAGTGGAGATCTTTCAGTGGGAAGAGGTAAAGTTGGGCATCTAATTGTCACTATATCTTTTGAAAATATTTTACTTATTATTTCTATTTTATGTGTATGAGTGTATTGCCTACATATGTATAAGTGCACCCATGTCACGCAATGCATATGGAGGTCAGAAGAGGGTATTGAATTCCTTTAGGAACTGAAGTTATGGATGGTTGTTAGCCACCATGTAAGTGCTAGAAATTGAACCTGGGTCCCTCTACAAGAGCAGCCAGTGCTCTTAACCTCTGAGCCATCTCTCCAGCCCTTATCATTGTAATATCTAATTTATTGAGGAGGGTAATAGAAAAACACAAACTCCCTTTTATTATTCTTTGTATATGTTTAGATGCCTGATACTTCATAATTAAAAAGAAATAAATCAAGTCAAGAAAATCCTTATACTACTTCTAAAACCATATGAGGAACTGTTAAGGGATTTAAAAGAAATAGCTAACTCTCCTTGCCTTTGAAGGGTATGCAGGAAGTCAAGGTCACCAGAATTATAACATTCAAGTAATAGTTTGCATGAACACTGAGCACCTGTAACTTGTATCAATATATAAAATTAGCAGTTAAACTTCTCAAGGAAACACATCCATAGATATACCTAGGGATGGGTTTCCATTGTTACTCTAAGCCCAATAAAGTTGACAATGAAGATACCATCACAGCAGGGCAATCTCCAACCGTTGTATATTCTCTTGGTACCTGGGTCGCTCCCTCTGGGACTTCACTGGCACTGTAAAGGCCCACACACATGTCAATTTTGCCAAGAATGAGCACCTCTGCCTCACTCATCACATGCCCAGGGTGGTGCCTGGCACTTACCAGGAATCCAATGAAGATTTGATGATGAAACGAAAAACTTTGTCATGAAGGATAAACATGATTTAGCAGCAAGGAGGGTAAATGACATGAACGATAACACAAAACTCCTGAAGTTAGAAAGAGCCATGTGTCTGTGCACTGGGGTGAGCAGGAAGTTGGCAGTGAGTAAGCAAGGCTTGTACAGCAGCCAGCGTGGCTGACCTGGGACTCTGAGGCCACAGCGAGGATGGTGCGTGGCTGATAAACAAAGTTCAGTTGGGCTTTAAAAAGAGCAAACTGTTGAAAGAACTCTTGAACCATTCCATAACATACAACCCATCTGAATTTGGGGTGATCTGTGAGCGCAATTGCATTGCTTCAAAGGGAAGAATGGTGTGTGTATTAAGCACCCGTTTTCCCTGAGGTTCTATGCAGGAATAAGCTCCTGAAACCTTGCGTGTCATAAAACAATGCACCATAGAACAGATGGTCAGAATTACAGATGACTAAGAATCCTGTGATATCTCTGGAAAACTTCATTTGACATGTTAAATACGATTCCTAAATCTGTTATCCGAGTGTTAACAACAGGGGTGAAAAGTTGAGTAGCTGTAGTTGGAAGTTTGTTCAGCCCCTGTTCAATCTCCCCAGATGGAAGCCCCTTCCTACAACCCCAGAGGAACCCATCTCTGCTTCCAGAAAACCTCTCCTGCTCCTGGAATTGTGGAGCTCCAACCCCAGGCACCCCAGAGCTCTGGCGTTGTCTTTTGCGAACATTTCTTCTGCAGCCCGCCATCGTACACAAGAGCTACATGCTTATCCCTGGGAAGCCGCACATTCTCCAGGAACATCACAGGGCCTTACTGACGGCTTGTCTTCATGCAGGCAGAGCTGGGTGAAGAGGCTGATCCTGTGGAGCATGGACTCTGTCCTGCTGGCCTCTTTCTCTTCTCGTCCCCAGCTTCTGCTGCCCAAACTGAATAAGGTTTCTGGGCTGAGCAAAGGTTTTTAGCAGTTGTCCTCCCCACAAATGTTGTGGATAAGGAAGTTATCACTGTTTGTGATGGTGTGGAGTTTGGGTCTTGACTCTCCCCCAAAGACCCATGTGAACATATATATGGTCTGGTCTCCAGTCCATGGCACTGTGGAGAAGTGAGGCAGGGCCTCATGGGACGAAGGTAAGTCATTGGG